AATCCGCCTGCCAAGGCAGGAGACGGGTTCAAGCCCTGATCCGGGAAGATCCCACATGCAGTGGAGCCGCCAGGCCGCATGCCATGACTACCCAGCCTGTGCTCTGGAGTCTGGCAGCCTCAACGACTGAGCGACAGGAGAAGCCACCGCAATGCAAAGCCTGCGCATCGCACCTTGAGCAGCCCCCGCCCGCCACCACGAGGGGAAAGCCCCTGTGCAGCAGGGAAGACCCAGCACAGCTGAAAATAAACAAATATAAAATAAAATAGAAAATGACTGGCTTGGACAAAATGAACCATCGGTAAGGATTTTTCACAAAAGCCACACACAACATTGGAAATCCGACAACCAGGGATGTGAGCGTGCATCTGGTGAGTGCCTGGGCCAGGTGCTTCTACTCGGGTCTGCTCACAGGATCCATCCAGAAGCACCTGGAGACCTGGCTCAGTTGCTCCATCCTCACTGCACACCCAGGGAAACCGAGGCCGGGCAGCTGGGTGAGAGTGCCTACTCGCTCCACGTGCACTCAACAGTATTTAGTGACGCCGAGGGTGTGTTCTGGACACAGCAGGGCAGAGCGCACATTCCGGCAGCAGACAGACTGTAAGCCATGGACACGGAAGGGATGGGCATAAGTGAAAACAGCCACGGAGGAGGGAAGCGGTTGGTCAGGCGAGGAGGCTGGATAGGCAGGTGGGTGGGAGCTGGTGGGGTGGCTGGCGGCAAGACGGTGAGTGACAGGGCGTGCCTGGCACCCCACGAAGCCCGGATCACAGTCACCCTGCGGGCCAGGCGCGAGGCTCCAGGAGGGCCCCTGAGGATGCCCACATGGCGTGAAGTGGCAGAGGTAGGACCTGAACAGGTCCATGTGCACCCCACGCAGGTACCTGTAACCCCTGCCCCCAGAGGGGACCACGAGGTCACACCGTGAGGGGTGCTGCCCAGGAACCTCAGATCAACAGTGTCACAGGGTTACATCAGAACACAGCCGGGGGCTGTCCTGGTTCCCTCAGCAAGAGGAAGAGGGCGAGGTGCCCCCTAAGATGGGTGGGGGAGATCTGCTCAAGGAGGTTTGTTTGGAGGGTCTAAAAACCCGAACCTGGCCACGAACACTAGTGCGGAAATGCACGTCTTCTCCCTGTGAATATTGTGAGTCTTAGAAATCCAGCTTCTTTCCCAGGCCAGGCTGGAGGGATGTGAACTTCTGCCAGCTGGAACCCCAACGTGCTCCCTAAGTAGGTACAGCTGTCAGCTTCTGTGTTTCGGAACCATTCACGTGTTACCGTGACATTAAATACTTTTCTTCCTAATGAGCATTTCCCCCTCAAACGTCCGAAGGTGAAAAGAGACATCCTTTGAGCCCAGCCAAGGCCAAGTCTGTGCAGAAATTTCCCTGATGCGGATACTGGGGCACATTCTGTTAATAAGACTAGGAGCGTTTCCCGAGGCAGAGACGCTGGGTGGAGCCCTGCTGCCCCCTAGAGGGATGCGTTCTGGAGGCCCAGGCGGGAGGCGATGCTGGCCCTGAGCCCGGGGCTCCCCCTGGGCCTCCTCTCTGCCTCTGCATCTCTCCTCCAGGACCACCTTCCGCCTAACCTCCGTCCATCTGCCGCGTCGACACGATGTAGGAGGAGCCCCCAGCTCCGCTAGCCGGTCCCAAGCTCCCAAGGACTCAGCTCGCTCTGCCCAAAACACCGGCCAACATCCCCCAGGACATTTGCCAGGCCTCTCTGAAGGTTTTAAAGCCCCAAACCCTAAAGAAAATAGGGTTTCTAGCCCAGCCTCCAACCTGATTCAAACAAGCCGCATTCTTAACGAGGTAAGATCAGGAAAGGGGAGGGAGCTCTAAGGGGCTCCCCAGGTGGCTCCAGTGGCCAGCACAGGAGACCGAAGAGACTCGAGTTAGATCCCTGGGTCGGGAAGATCCCCTGGAGAAGGAAATGGCAACCCACTCCAGTGTTCTTGCCTGGAGAATCCCATGGACAGAGGAGCCTAATGGGCTACAGTCCATGGGGTGGCAGAGTCAGACACGACTGAAGCGGCTGGGCACGCACGCAAGGAGCTCTAAGATGTTTCAGGATGTCGCATGATGACTACTTTTAGGGTCTTTGTTTTTTTTAAAAAATAAATATTCCTCTAATTATTAACAAAATTTTTTGGCGCACGGCTCTGCTTGTGTGTAAGAACGTTAACATTTAAGTATTCCTCGGGATTAGCTGTGGCTTATGAAGCAAGTTCTAGGAACGCTGTGGTTGTGAAGGAACCTCAGGGTTCACTCCCTGAGCCCTTGGGATGGTTCCAGGAAACCATGTCGTTGCTGCCAGCACTTTTCCTACGAGGAAACTGAGGCACAGAGGGGTGCAGCAACTGGCCAAGATCACACTCGGCCTGGAAGTGCGGGGGAGGTTCCAGCCTGGTCCGTCTCAGCATCTGGGGTCCAGCCCAAGGGTCGCATCTCCCAGGAAGCCTTCCCTGCCCTCCCTGGTTGCAGCTGGTCCACCCATCCTGCCCTAGTCAGCCCCTAGCCCTGCTGGTTTGGCCCTTCCCTGCTTTCCTTTGCAGAAATACCTGCAACCTGTGGAGTGTTTGTTCCTGCTGGGTCTGCCTCCCCACTGCAAAGTCAGCTCTGTGAAGGCAGCTAATGGATATGTTTGCATTGCTTCAGTCTCCTCGGGGCCCAGCACTGTGCCTGGTGCTCCCTCGACATTTCTGGAAGGAAGGAGGGGAGGTGCAGTTTCCATTCTCAGGAAGCTCCCACTTAATGGGGGGAAATAGGCCTTACTGACCGTCACAGGTTAAACGAGGCCTCCCGGCAGCGCTAGAGGCAGAGAACCCGCCTGCCAGTGCAGGAGATGTAAGACTCGCGGGTTCAATCCCTGGGTTGGGAAGATCTCCTGGAGGAGGGCAAGGCAACCCACTCCAGTGTTCTTGCCTGGAGAATCCCATGGAGAGAGGAGCCTGGCGGGCTACAGTTCATGGGGTCACAAAGAGTGAGACACGGCTGAAGTGACTTTAGCATGCATGCACGCCTCAGATCCCACGAGTGTCCACCAGGAACCTGTGAAAGTTACCTTATTTGGAAAAAGCATCCTTGGCATTATCAGTCACCTCAAGATCATCCTGGATTATCTGGGGGTGGGGGTGGGGCCTAAACCCAGTGCTGAGTGTCCTTCTGAGAGGAGGAAAAGGCAGAGAGACCCAGAGTCGGCCTCATGAAGACAGGGGCAGAGACTAGGGTTGGGCTGCTACGAACCAAGGAACCTCTGGAGCATCCAGAAGCTGGAAAAAGCAATGAGGGAGCCTCCCTACCTGGAGCCATCGGAGGGACCGTGGCCTGGTGGACACTTTGATTTTGGACTTCCAGCCTCCAGGTCTGAAAGAAAACAAATTTTGGTTGTTTTAGGCTTGACAGTTTGTGGCAATTTTTTATAGCAGTCCAGGGAAAGAAACACATTGGCCACCCACAGGTGGTTTGTTGCTGTTTAGATGCTAATTCATGCCTGATGCTTTGCCCATGGACTGAAGCCTACCAGGCTCCACCATCCATGGGACTGCCCAGGCAAGAAGACTGGGGTGGGTTGCCATCTCCTCCTCCAGGGGATCTTCCTGACCTAGGGATCGAACCCGCTTCTCTTGTGTCTCCTGCATTGGCAGGAGGATTCTTGACCACTAGCCACTGGTTCATCAATACTCAAACGCCTCACAGGAGGGCTCACAAGATGCGGACAGTAGGGGCGCCATCCAAGGAACTGCTCCCACAGGTGGGGTGGTCAGCTCGGCCCTCCAGGCCTTTGGGGCACTTGCCTGTCCCCGGGGCAGGGATGCCGGACTCCAGGCCTCTCTGGCTGTGTCAGTCATCGTTGCTACCATGAGCAGACCGTCACAGTATTTTCTATCCCACCTTTTGGAGTCCCTGGAATCCCTCCTTTCCCCCAGCCCACACCCCTGCCAAATGCAGCCACCATCTTCCCCACAGGTGTGTCTCTCAGCTAAATACAGAGGTGCTCGCTTCCCTCCTGTGCAGGCCCCACCCCACCCTGCCCGAGGCTACAGTCGCCCCTCACTGGAGCTTCCCAGAATCTTCTGGTTGGAGGCGACTGCTCCCAGTCTGGTCCTTTCCAACAGCCTGCAGGCCCTTGGGGAAATGAAGGTTTCATGCCCACCCATCTTCGCAGACCACATGGCACAGAGTGGACAGCAAATAATCAGAACCAAGACTGTGGTCGGGCTTCCCAGGGGGTTCAGGGGTAAAGAATCTGCCTTCCAATGCAGGAGACACAGGTTCGATCCCTGGGTCAGGAAGATCCCCTGGAGAAGGAAACGGCTACCCACTCCAGTATTTTTACCATGGAGAAATCCCATGCACAGAGGAGCCTGGCGGACTACAGTCTATGGAGTCTCAGAGTCAGACACGACTGAGCAGGCATGCACACAACTGACCTCGGTCAGCCTCAGCTTTCTGCTGCTCTCTAGCCCATACAGCCAACCTGCTGCTCCCGTTCCTATCACCGCTGACCTTGAACCCCATCACGCCCTGCTCACCACCTCTGACCGCCCTTTGCCACCTCTCCGGTTCATAGCTTCTCCCGCGGGGCTGAGCAGGCTTTGTCTCGGGCTTTGTGCTCCTAATGGGACCTCTGATTCTGCCACCAGATAGTCCCGCCCAGGTGGGTCAGGAGCTTCGACCTCCCACTGACCTCCCAGCTCCTGAGAAGTACTCGGCAGCGCCACTCAGACCACAAACTCCAGGGGTGCCTGCCTGGCAGGACGCCGCCAGGACAGACAGCTCCGTGAGAACGGCGTGGTCTGCAGTGACTCAGTAATATCGGCCGGCGTCACACGACTACGACCACGACGATGACGATCGCCCCTGCCGCCCCCGGCTGGCCCCGGGTCCGTGCGGGCCTCCGGGGAGCTGATGGGGGACGGCACCCTGACTTTGCCTGAGGCCGGCGGCCCCCCAGCCCCCGAGGCCGTGTGGGAGGGCCCCGGGCCTGGCCTGCGTCCGCCGCGTCCCTTCTCCTCCTGGGTCGGTTTCTGTGGTGCCGGCGGATGTTTTCAAAATGATGCGCGCATACTTCTGAGGTCAACGTCTAATCAGAAACGACTTCTAGACGGTGCCCTGGTTTAAAAAGAAAGAGAGAAGAAATTGAGTGAGTCATCATCCAAACCATTTGAATGAAACAAAGACACAACAAACTCTGCTTTCCTCTTGCGCCAGAACAGATTACCTCAGCCCTGCAGGGCCCAGCTGGAGGGAATTAAAGGCATCTCCGGCTCCCCAGATAGGAAGGCGGTGCAGGCCCGCCGTGACTCACGGCGAGAACCACAGCGATGCAGTCGCTTCGGTCAGAATCTGGAGCCCTCCATGTGCTGGGGCTGGATCCGCGGCTCCAGAGGGGGCTCTGGGAGCCGGGCGCTGATGAGGGGGACACAGGAGGCCAAGAGGTTGCAGACCTAGGGAGCAGTCGGGGGGGGGGGGCGTGAAGAGACCCCGACATTGCAGGGACCGCCACCCCCCAATATCTTCCAGGGCGCCGGAGGACGCTGCCAGACCTGGGCAGGGGTGGGCGCGGTGGTCGCAAATGTCCCCAACACCCCCGCTGATGGCTCGAGTCGCAGTGTCAGCAAGTCCTCCTCCTGGGCCAAGGTTCTCCCAGGGCCTGCCATCCAACACCCTTGCCCTATGGGGAAGGGACAAACAGCCATTTCCCGGGGGTCGTGGGCTTCCTTCCGGAAAACTGCGTCTGCCAAGGTTCTGAACTTGGAAGACTTTTCCCGGGAGTGGGAGGGAGGCTTGACTGGACACACCTGAGTGGACAGGCTGAGCTGGCTTTCAGAGGTGGTCTCCAGACCGCCTCCCGCCCCCCAACCGTGAGCGTTACTCCAAAAGGCGCAGCTTCCGCTCAGGGTTGTCAAGATGATGCAACACATTGAGGGAATTAATTTGGGGGAAATTGAACTCGTTTCTAAAACGATAGCAATAATACATAATAAAACATTTTTTTTCAACAATAAAAAAGAAGTATTAGCTGCAAACATGAAGACAACTGTAATATCTCAGGATACAAACGCCGGCGGGGGGTGGAGGGGAGGGGGCGGAGCGCAAAAAGAGGCCTCTCCCGCCCCCTCCCCAGGGGCGTCAATTCTTGGCTCAGGTTTTCTAGTTTTTCTGATGGTGGTTTTCCTTTAACAGTATGTCTACTTCTCCTGGATTATTCATCCTTGCTGCGCTTAGTCACTCAGTCGTGTCTGACTCTTGGCCACCCCATGGACTGCAGCCCGCCAGGCTCCACTGGGGATTCTCCAGGCAAGAAGGCTGGAGTGGGCTGCCATTCCCTTCTCCAGGAGATCTTCCCAACCCAGGGATTGAACCCAGGTCTCCCGCATTGCAGACGGATTCTTTTAGATGGTATTGAACAATTACTTCCATTGAAAGATAAAGAAATTAGTGCAGTTATTCTGACTTCAGTCTGTTGTTACCTCTTGCCTCCTAAGCATGTTAGTTACGTTAGTTTACTTCGCAGACCCTGAGGTCAGTATATCTGAATTCAAATCCCACCTCCACCACTTTTTGCTGGATGGCTTTGGACAAGTTACTTAACCTCTCTGTGTTCCAGGTTCCTTATCAGTAAAAATGAGGATATTGATAGGCTCTGCTTCACAAAGTTTTCATGCAGATAAAAAGTGTTAATTCATGCTAAGTGCTTGGAATAGTGCCTGCTATATACTGTCTCAGTGTTACTATTATTCCTCATTATTCTGTTCTAGAATTTAGAACTAAATCTTCTTTGAACTGTCAATTGTTCAGTCGCTAAGCAGTGTCTGACTCTTTGCAGTCCTATGGACTACAGCACACCAGGCTTCCCTGTCCTTCACTATCTGCCGGAGTTTCCTCAAACTCATGTCCATGGAGTCAATGATGCTATCTAACCATCTCATCCTCTGCTGACCCCTTCTCCTTCCCTCAGTCTTTCCTAGCATCGGGGTCTTTTCCAGTGACTCAGCTCTTTGCATCAGGTGGCCAAAGTATTGGAGCTTCAGCTTCAGCATCAGTCCTTCCAATGAACATTCAGGGTTGATTTCCTTTAGGATGGACTGGTTTGATCTCCTTGATGTTCAAGGGACTCTCAGGAGTCTTCTCCAGCACCACAGTTCAAAAGCATCAATTTTTTGGCGCTCAGCCTTCTTTATGGTCCAACACTCACATCCGTACATGACTACCGGAAAAACCATAGCTGGAAAAAATATAGAATTTCCAGTAGGCTGACTCTACAAACTGTGAACCAATAAGCAACACTGAAACATCACCCAGTAAACAGCATTAAGTGTGAAGGGATCCGTGAAGAACGAAATGTGATTCCGAGTCACTGAAAGTTTACTGCTCAAAAGAGAATTTTCCAAGTGTCAGTTCTAACCCACAGTCTTCTAGTTTCTTTCTAGTATTCTTTTTGACTCTTCTGTATAACTGTCAACTAACACTTTTAAATAATATATATGCTCTCCTCTTTCTTAGATTTTTTTTTCAGGAGGTTGATATAAATCCTTGGATAACTTTTTCAAATAGAGTACATGGATGGTGAATTTTTAAATTCTTGAATGCCTAAGAATATCTTTATTTGGTTTGGCTACATAAAGAACCCTAGTTTGAGACTTTTTTTTTCATGTAATATTTTTAAAAATTTATTTTAATTGGATGCTAATTACTTTACAATATTGTGGTGGCTTTTGCCACATGTTGACATGAATCAGCCACGGGTGCTCATGTGTCTCCCTGTCCGGAACCCCCCTTCCACCCCCTCCCCATCCCATCCCTCTGGGATGTCCCAGTGGACTGGCTTTGAGTGCCCTGTTTCATGCATCGAACTTGGACTGGTCATCTATTTCACATATGGTTAAGATACCTGTTTTGAGAATCTTTTACCCTCAGAACATGGAGTTCATACGTCATCATCTCTGGCATCCAGGTAGATGACAAATCTGGAGTTAATCTGGTTCTCAATCTTTGGTAACTTATCGCTTTAAAAATTATGATTTCCAAAAGCCTGTAGAGTAGCTTTTTTATTCTTAATGTTTTAAAATTTCCCTGGATGTCTGTGGGTATGCATCGTAAATGGAACCAGGTGAAACATGTAACCTAAGGACTCAAGTCTTTCCGGGAGTGCCCAGAAATGTTCCTTTCATTTCTTTTATTATTTCCTCCCTCCACTCTCTCTCTTATTTTGAAAATCCCATTTTACAGCAGCTGAAACTCCTGGATTTATCCTCCTTGTCTCAAATTTTCTCCTAGGTTTTCCAGCTTTGTCTCTTTATGTTCTGGGAGATTGTTTTCAATTCTGTACTTCCAGATCACTAACTTCATCATTGGCTGTGTCTTATTTCTCAGTCCACTCATGGAAATTTTTAAATGTAACCCTCTTTTTCATTCTCAAACGTGATTCCTGCTTCTCTGATTGCTCCATTTTCATAACAACCTACTCTCGTGGATGCAACAGTCTCTTGAATCCTCCTAAGATTCAGAGTAGAATGAAAATACTTCTTCACCTCTTTGAATACTCTCTGCTTATTTCAAAGTAATCAGTTTATCAATTTTGATCCTTGCCTTTTGTGATGTTTGTTTTCTCCAAATGTCCTGAGATCCCCTGAAAGTTGTTTTGCATTTACAATAAGGGATCAAGATAAAGACTGTCAGAAACACGGGTTTCTTCTTCCTTCCCTAAGGGGCCTTTTCTTGGGACGGTGGGATCAGCCATGAACGGTGTACATGTGGGCAGAGCACACCTACCAGCGAGCCTCCCTATAATATACAAGGGCAGAGAGCAAACAGGCAGGCAGGCCAGGGAGACCTCAAACTGCCGGAGCAGAGGACTAAACAAAGGGTTTGCTTTTCCCTCTAGAAGGAGGTCTGCAGTAGGCGGTCCACAGATGGTAGGGGCTCAGTGTCATGATTAAGACCCAGGCTCCCCCTGGATACCTGCTTGTCCTAGTTGACAGATGCTGCTGCACTTGCAGAAACTCCTGAGCTTCCAGGAGGAAGAAGAAGACGACCGGAGAAGCAAGAAGGGAGAGCATTTCTGTCAGGAGGTTGAAGGCTCTTCCAGAAATCCCCAGCAGATTTCTGCTCAAATCCATGGTCTCAAGGGGAGACTGGGAGGTTGAAGTTTGTCACCAAGTACTTTGTGACCTTGACCAAAGAAGTGTTCCTCTTAGGAAGGAGGAAGGAGATGAGATACTGATGAAGCTATTAACCATGTGTGTGATGGATGTTTTCATATCTTTCCCCCCAGAAGGGGCAGCTTATTTCTACCCCCAGACCCATATCTGTGACAGAGGTCTCCATTTTCTCTTCTCTCCTAGCCTTGTGGCAGAACTGGCATTGATCGCCTGACATTAACATTTGCCTTCCTTTCTGGCGCTGGGACTCCCACTTTTACTGGGTACGTGGCCACCTAGAAGGACCACATGACCCAACCCTCCTTGCAGCTAGGGGCACCCGTGTGGCCAAGTTCCAGCCAACGGGATGGTGGTGGCAGCAAAGGCTCCCTCCTCTGGGTGCAGCCGCGGAAGAAAGAGCGTGTGTGCTTGCCCCTTCCCTCTGCCCTGGCGACCAGGCTCCTCTCCCAATCACAGCTCGCCTGGGGACCCTTTGGGCATCTCCCCCATCACAGCTGCTTACAGAGGGAGTTCTGACATCCAGCCCCCGAGTGAGGGGACCCCTGGGTCCCCTGCAGACTTGTTCTTTCTGCTGCTTCACCTGCAGTGACACTTCTCCTGAAGCCACTACCTGTGCATTTGCTCAGGGGGCAGACCCCCTCCCCCTCTGTATCCCAGCCTCTCTGTCGTCTCTGACGTAGGAGGTAGGTGGTTAGAGTGTATTGTGTTGGAGGTCACCATGCTTCCTGTTGGCCCCAGGTACCCAGATGTTCTCATTGACCCCAGGTGAAGCATGTCTTACTTCATACTCAATGTCATAAACCCTCATCTTGAAAAGGGCCCACCTTGTCCAGAAATAAATCCATACATGTATAGTCAATTTAACTGTGACAAAGAAGGCAAGAATATACAATGGAGAAAAGACAGTCTCCTCAATAAGTGGTGCTGAAAAACTGGACAACTACACATAAGAGAATGAAATTAGAATAGTCTCTAACACCTATACAAAAGCAAACTCAAAATGGATTAAAGACCTAGATGTAAGACTGGCTACTATAAAATTCCTAGAGGAAAACATGAGCAGAACACTCTTTGACATAAGGTGCAGCAATATCTTTTCAGGTCCATCTCCTAGAGTAATGGGTATAAAAAACAAAAATAAACAAATGGGACCTAATTAAACTTAGAAGATTTTGCACAACAAAGAAAATCATAAACAAAATGAAAAGAGAATTTACAGAACGGAAGAAAATATTTGCAAACAACACTACCAATAAGGCATTAATTTTCAAAATATACAAACAGCTCATATAACTGAGTATTAAAAAACAAACTGCCCACTTAAAAAATGGGCAGAAGACCTAAACAGATATTTCTGCAAAGAAGACATACAGATGGCCTACAGGCACATGAAAAAATGCTCAACATCATAATTATTAAAGAAATGCAAATAAAAACTACAATGAGGTATCACCTCACTCCGGTCAGAATGGCCATCAATAAAAAGTCTACAGATAACAAATACTAGAGAGGGTGTGGAGAAAAAGGAACTCTCCCATACCAAAGGTGGGAATGTAATTTGCTGCAGCCACTATGGAGAACAGTGTGGAGATTCCTTTGAAAAATAAAAAAAAAAAAATACAGTTACCATGTGATCCATGTGATCCCTCTCCTGGGCATATTCTGGAAAAGACAAAAACTATAATTTGAAAAGATACATACATCCCAGTGTTCATTGCAGCACTGCTTACAACAGCCAAGACAAGGAAACGACCGAGCTGTCCATCAACAGGTGAATGGATAGAAAAGATGAACATACAGGGGAGTATTACTCAGATAAGAAACAGTAATGAGATAATGCCATTTATGGCAACATGGATGAAGCTCTTTGACAAAAACTGCAACATGGATCATACTAAGTGAAGTAAGCCAGAAAGAGACATATAATAGGATACTGCTTATATGTGGAATCTAAAAAGATGATACAAATGAACTTATTTTTACAAAACAGAAAAAGACTCACAGACATAGAGAACAAACTTATAAAGCAAGGTAAGGACCTAGCCCAGTCTTGGAATAGATAGCTCCCAATAGATTATTGAGCTTTTAATTATTATTCTTATGAATTCATCCTCTCTAACCAAACTGATGTTTTTTCTTGTCCTCTCCACTCAGGTCAGATTTCCAAATCTAAGGCAGAGGTTGGACTATAGTGGTCCCACCAGTAGTATCCAACACATGGATGTGTTATGTGTCAGCCCACACAAGTTGTTCTAAAACTTGAGATAGTTGCCAAAGGAATTGCTTAGGATACAAGTCCAGATGCTAGACTGGAGACTGCAAATAATAGCCTCTTAAAGAAGAGCTCGTTTCCTCTGTCTCTCTGAAAACAGTTCAAGGATAGGCAGATGGCTGTGGAGGTTGCATGGAGCCAGGGGACCCAGGCCCCCTTCCTCTTGTTTCTCTGTCTCCATTCCAGAATGTCACCCTGCAGAAGGTCCACCATGGCTCACCATCACGTCACCTGGGCCTGCATTCAGACAGCAGCAAGTGGGCAGGGGATGGCTTGTTCTGTTTTTGAGGGCAAG